TATTTTACTTATAAAAAAATCAGTTTATATATCAGATACTGGTTTTAAAAATTAAGTTTTCTTAAGATTCACCAAACTTACAGAAGAAATTAAATTTAAATATTTTTAGACTTTTTTTATATATAGGAAATAAAGCTTTGAAAAATTTTCAAAGCACTATTTAAATAGTATTTATATTTATAAAAGGTAATTGATTTTTCATAGGCTATTGGAAAAAGTGGATATATTTGAACATCTTAAACAACTAAGTAGAAATAAATAAAAGATAAAATTAATTTTTTAAAAGGATGATATACTGTATTTTTTTTAATATCAAAGACAAGAATATTAGGAACATTCAGGGATGTGTGTGCATCTGTGTGTCTTTGTGGCTGCTTGTGTGTGTATGTATGTATGTATGTATGTATGTATGTATGTATGTATGTATATGTGTAAGCATGTATTATTACTTGCCTGACTGTGTTCATGGAGATCTTTCCTCTGCCAAGTGAATTTAAAGCCTGTTTTTCTTAGCATACAGAATGTTATTATAAGTGATATTGGCAACTAAACATTTATGATGATCAAGAAAGAAGGTAGATTATTCATTCAGGGTATATTTAACCTAAGAAATGTATACTTTACTAAACATGAAGGAGCAGAATTTCAAATTGATTTTAAATTGAGAATGTTTATGCAACTTATATAGTGTTTCTATATCAATATGTTCATTAAGTGCAAGGTATGTCCACATGGTTATTCAAAACAACTGATTGATAGGTGATCTGCAGTTACCTTGAATATTTGCTACCACAGAAAGCTATTTCAAGCTACTTCTTATCCCCTACTGAAAGATTCATTCCTCATATTGCTGTGATCTCAAGTGCTAACCTGCCTTCAGGATGATTAGACATGAAGTTCTGCTATCCAGGATCCACAGTCTATTACATTTTGATCCAATAGATTATAAGTCTATTTCCATCCCTGAAAACAGGGGTTCAGTTGTCCTGAATGATATTCAGATATTATGGCTCACTAACCTGCTTTTAAATAACTTACAGGTAACTAATCTCTCTACAAATGAGCAGGTTACCATCTCCAAAATACTGAGTAAGATTTGTTGCAATAAGATAAGCAAAAACTTGGTTAATGAAAGAAAACCTTATTAAACTATGTTTAGACACTGTTGACTTTCTGAACACTGTGTTTGGTGATTATTTCTACTTTTTTTTTTTTTTTTTCCTTTTTTTAGACAGGGGCTTCCTGTAGCCCCAGCTGTCCTGGAACTCACTCTGTAGACCAGGCTGGGCTCGAACTCACAAAGATCTGGCTGCCTCTGCCTCCCAAGTGCTGGGATTAAAGGCGTGCGCTACCACATCTGGCGGTTATTTCAATTTTATATACCAATAACAAAATGAATACAGGTAAAAAGCTTACAGGTATTTATGATCTGAAATAGTGTGACTAAAACAGGCTTTAAATTTATTACAGGTTTTTAAAATGCTATGGCTTCTATGGAACTTCTATAAAAATTCTATGTTCATAGATAGTTATTTGAATGTCATATATATATATATATATATATATATATATATATCTCACATCAGATTCAGACTGAGTGATCTGCAGAATCTGTATATTGATTGATCATGTATTAATTCCTCATATTTGACTAAAATTGCTCATGAAAATGGAATCTTTCCAGTTTATATAGTGTCATTCCAGTGCAAACGGTTTTCATAACACTCAACAGCTGCAAGAGTTAGTTTTGTGAGTCTCTTATGTAATTATTAGTACAACAAACTCCACATGAGAGGACAATGTGAAAATTTTCTTGACAATTGTTTTGCCTAGATCATATTAAAAAATTCCTAAGAAGTGACAAAATGTGAACAAATATAATGTCAATTCTTCCTTATATTTCCTTATTTTTGCCATGACAAATTTCAACTACGCTCCAATTAGAAAAAAAGATTTTAACACATAAAATTTAAATAGGATGATGAAAGGATTTATCTATTTTCATAACTTTGACCATTTTACACTCTGTGTTTTGTTGTATTATTTTCAGAAATTCTTTGCTTCTTCATATTTGGACACTGATTTAAGTGTCCAGTTTGTGACACTGGTCCACATGAGACCGAAGAAGGTCTTACTCCAATTAGAAAAAAAGATTTTAACACATAAAATTTAAATAGGATGATGAAAGGATTTATCTATTTTCATAACTTTGACCATTTTACACTCTGTGTTTTGTTGTATTATTTTCAGAAATTCTTTGCTTCTTCATATTTGGACACTGATTTAAGTGTCCAGTTTGTGACACTGGTCCACATGAGACCGAAGAAGGTCTTTCGCACATGTTAAAAACTGGTGTTGATGAATTTTAAATAAATGTTATTTCTGTGCATAAACTCCATATAACTCATGAAGCTTATCATACTGAAGTAATAAAAGTTGAATCCACAGATAAGGCACATATATTACTGATGTGCAAAAATATTTAAATTACCTAATTTAAACACTGTTACAATTTGTTGGTAGTAGCTATGATCTTCCCTGATAAGCTTGGCAATTACAAGAAATAATATATTTTAAATTATTTTATCATATTTTCCAATATTGAAAACAATCATGATTTGTCATTTTAGAATTCTCAAACTATACGCTTCTAAATAAGAGACAATAAAATATTTCTTACTATACAATAGTAGCATATTATTGTTGAATGTGCATTAACTCATCTTTATTAAACTTTATAATAGTGTTACATTGCTCATTTTTATGGAGATGTTTCTTTCATTTTTAGATATCTAATTCATCTGCTTATAAAATGTGACAAACAGAAATATATGGAGATGCAGAAGAATGTCTCAGAATTCGTTCTACTGGGACTTTCTTATGACCATGGCATACAAATGTTTTGCTTTGCTCTCTTCTTGGTCTGTTACACATCTCTTTTGGTGGGAAACCTTGTGATACTTATCTCAATTCGATGCAGCCCTCTTTTTCATCAGCCAATGTATTATTTCCTCAGCCACCTAGCGTTAATGGATATTTGCTTTACCTCCTGTGTGACTCCAAAATTCATTGGTGACCTTCTTGTAGTAAGAAAAACCATCTCCTATGCTAACTGCATGCTGCAGGTCTTCGCTATGCACTTCTTTGGAATGACTGAAGTCTTAATCCTGACAGTCATGGCCTTTGATCGCTATGTTGCCATCTGTAAGCCTCTCCACTACGTGATTATCATGAACAAGACAAAATGCCATCTCCTACTTTTAGCTTCCTGGGCTGGTGGAGCCACCCATTCTTTTCCTCAGGTTTTTATTGTGATACTGTTACCCTTTTGTGGTCCCAATGAAATCGACCATTACTTCTGTGATATTTTTCCTTTGTTGAAAGTTGCTTGCACTGACACCTACATCACTGGTGTCCTTGTGCTGGCCAATTCAGGCATAGTCACCTTGGTGACGTTTGTGGTTCTTTTTGTTTCATACATCATTATACTCTTCACTTTAAGAACTCACTCAGCAGAAGGACGTCACAAAGCTCTCTCCACCTGTGGCTCACATATCACTGTGATAGTTTTATTTTTTGGACCTGCAATCTTCTCTTACCTAAGACCTCCTACCACTTACCCTGAAGATAAAATATTTGCTCTGTTATACACAATCATCGCACCTATGTTCAATCCCTTAATCTATACGCTGAGAAATGCAGAGATGAAAAATGCCATGAGAAAAGTTTGGTGTTGAACATGAAAAATAAACAATTAGAGATTTCAAAGAAAGGAATCATGTGGAATACAAGAGCAGACATGGAACTGGAGAGCTGACAACCCTCTACTGATAACTACATCAGGACCATCTAAAAATGAGAAAGCTTTCATAAGTTTTAAGGCAATGTACTGGCATGGCTTTGGAAATGTAGTTAATTTGGAACTGTGCTAACATGGTGTGAGTAGAGTTACTTGCCTATGAGTCATTTGAGCATAATAATTAAGATGCCAGCATATTGAAAAATGAATTATGATGTAAAGAAAACTTTTAATGAAAATTTTAGTATAGATATGAAATTTTATAACTAAAATGGTGAAACATTTTCAAAACAAAATTTATTGGTTAAATAGACAATTTTACTATGAGAAATTATAAAAATGATTCATTACGAGTTGAAATAAGCCAAAATTTTCATCCTTTTTATTTACTTGTGACACTGTGTATTGCTTGAGTAGAGCCATTATTATAGAATAAAGGAAATATTTTGAGTCAGTAAAAATATTTAGACACACATGTACCATTTTTCCAAATGAAGTTAGGGCCTTTAATTTAATATAGACTCTTTCTCTAATTAATAAGCAGAATTTAAAAATTAAATGTAAAACTGCACATCAGTATAATTCAATCAAGCTTAATATGGTTCTTGGGGGCCAGCATGATGACTCAATGCATAGAGGCACTTGCTACCAAGTCTGATGACTGGAGTTTGATCCCAGGACTTAGATAGCAGAAAGAAATAATCAACTCGTGTGAGTTGTCCTCTGGCTTCAAGGCACTTGCTAACATACACATACAAACACACACACACACACACACACACAAACAAACAATAAATAAATAAATAAACAAATTTTATTAAGATTTTATCCATTCATTATTTTTATTTTATGTGTATGAGTGAATTGCTTGCATTTATGTATGTGCACCCATGTTGTTCAGTGGCCACGGATGTCAGACAAGGTCATCAGATACCCTGGAACTGGAGTTATGGGTGGTTGTTAGCTGCCTTGTGGGTACTGCAATTTGAACCCAGATCTTCTATAAGAGTAGTCAGTGTTCATAACCACTGAGCAACCTTTCCAGCCCCTTTTTTTTAAGTCTTTAAAAAATAGATTTTAGTTGTCATCCTGACATTTAAATAATTAAACCAAAGAAAAAACTAGTATATATAATTTGAAACAAATTAATCAGTTTGCTGTAAACAACTGCTTAACATCTACCTACTTATCAATATCTTTAATACACAAAGTATTTGACTTTTACATTTAAAAAGGTAGATCATTTATTAAATTGGTAGTTGAAGATGTTTCCAATTATGATAGGAATATATAAAAATAAAGAGAAACAGTATGAAAAGAAACAATAAACAAGCATTCCAAAATCATCTTGACAATGGTAAAATAGCTTCTGGATGTTATACAAAGCAGAATTCTGAGAAATATTTTTGAGGACGCCAAGGAGGAATAAGATTTCTTTAATTGTGTCCCTAATACTTTTAAAACAACAATCTGTTAGAAAGAAATAGCTTTCATTACCAAGAGAAGACTAAGTGAATGTATGTGTAAGTAGAAGATGAACCAAAGGAGTGTTAGGATGAAAGACTGCATAGTCAATGGAAGGGTCAAAGCACACCTTAGAGGTACAGATAAAAGATAGAGATATAATATGAAATATAGCTAAGTTGAGGGAAATTGTACACTTTAGTAGATTGGGAGTATGCAAATTATTACATGTCAAGGGAAACTGAAATTTTTCAAGATTTAAATTTCTCTTTTCTAAAATTATCAGCAGATATTTGCAAGAGCACGAAAGTTTAATGGGAAAATTTCAAAGACAACTTATCCTATTTATATTTCATTTTAGGAAAGGTAATCAAATTTTAAGTTAATATACTATGTTTAAGTTATTTGTGTATCTTTATTATAAAATATGAGAAATGAACTCTTTAATAGCAACACAAGAAATTAGCCACAGCAAAAAATATTGAGGTCAAAGAGACTGATGCTTTTCCTGTCTTAATTTAAGTGCATCTAGACTGGCATGGAGGAAGAGTGGCATTTTATTTTCTTTAATATTTTATTTATTATTGTTCTATTTTATTTTTTATGTATATGAGTGTATTGCCTGCATGTATGGAAGTGCACCCATGTCCTGCAATGGCCAAGGTGCTCAGGAGAGGGAATCAGATTTCCTGGAACTGGAGTTAACAAACAGTTGCTAACTGCCATGTGGGTATTAGGACTAGAATCTGGGTCCTCCTCTGCAAGAGCAGTTAGTGCTCTTAAGCGTTGAGCCATCTCTCCATTCCCAAGAATGGCATTTTGGGGAGTGCAAAACTGGGATTTACAACTTTATGATTAGAATTGTTATTTAAATAAAGTAAACTTTGTCTTTTTTTTTTGGCCTTTTTGAGACAGGGTCTCCCTGTAGCCCAAGCTGTCCTGGAACTCACTATGTAGACCAGGCTGGCCTTGAACTCACAGAGATCCACCTGCCTCTGCCTCCCAAGTGCTGGGATTAAAGGTGTGTGCCACCATGCAGGGCTAACTTTATAATTTTTAACATTTTCCATTTGTAGTAGTTGCAATACAGCACTATTTATAGCATGAGTAAATGAAAGATTAAAGTAGAGATGTCATGAGCAATAACTGTGCTGCTCTTAGAGCTCATGCAGTGATGTCCACATAGAAAATTAAACCTTTAAAACAGAAGCAACACAGCCATGTGTATGACTGTTTCTAGGATGACTTGTACCCGTGGTGTAGTGAATGCCTCTATATTCTGAATAAAGAAATCAGTGTTAGTCACAATTTACTTGGTTTAATTTTGCCAGGATATTGAATTATTGGTGGAACTCCAAAAGAAATCATTTAAATAAAACTAAGGGCTTTAGTTTTAAAAGGTTCCCTGACTCTTCCAGTGCTGCATATGCAAAGGTTTCTGATATTACCTCTCTACTGCTGTCTACTGAATTCTACTTCAGCATGTACACAAATCTACTTACCTAGTTTCAGAATTATTTTCTTCCAGTTTAATCTATTTTTATTATACAGTACTGAAAAATTATAACTACATAGTTAAAATACTATATTTTAGATACACTATGGAAATACTAAAATAAGTTAATATATCTATAATATCAAATGTTTATGATAGTGATAACCTTATAAAATTTACTCTGAATGTCAATGAATACGCAGTTTTCTCTTTTTGTCTCTATTAATTGGCTCATGCCACCATTGATCTAAAACCAAACTCACTACAATCTCTGTGAGACTTTGTGTAATTTGACTGATGTCTCCATACTCCTCCAAGTCACCATTCTTTGCAACCTCCATATGCCTTCTTGCTTTTACCAGTTCAATGTTTTTTGGGTTCTTTTGGGGAGGAGGGTTTCATATAGATGTGAGAACACGTCATTTATGTTTATATGCCTGGTTGTCTCATTCCCCAGGTTTCACAATTATGTCCTTGATGGATACTAACCTGAATTTCATTCCTTGATGTATAATAACCTGGATTTATTAATCTGGTATAGGGAATGTCCAGAACTAGATTTGTTGGATGTAATGCTAATTCTATGTTGATTTGAAAAACTTCCATTTTTCTTTTTATAAAAAGTTTTCTTATCTATTTTCCCACCAATGTGCAAAGTGTCATTTCCTCTAAATCATGAGTAATACTTGCTATCCTTTATCAGTTTTATTGTAGTCTTTTGGCAGGCACAAAATGATAGCTCCTTTTAGTTTTAATTTGTATATCCTTAAAGGTTACACACATTAACAATTTATTTTTAAGACAGTTAACTGTGTATATATCTGTCCTTGTAATACATTTTTCCAGGTCTCTTGCTCATTTATAAATAGGACTCTTTGTTAACTATATTTTGCTATGGAGCTCTTTGAACCTCATATATTTTAGACACAAATTCTTTCTCAATTGTATGACTTAATTGATTGTCCCTGTGAATGTCCCCCATCCATGTTGTACTCCTGTCTGGTATGGCTTTACAGAAGATTATGATGCTCTCATGATCACTATAGGTTCTTATGTGCAATAACTCTGTGGTATCCAGACAACAAAGTTTCCTTATATTCATCTACACCTCTGCCTCTTATAATCTTCCAGCCCCTCTTCTGCAATGAAGCCTTGGGAGAAGGTGAAATATACGTGTCCCATTTAAAGATGAGTACTCCACAGCATCTTATTCAGTGCACAGTTGTAGATCTCTGTGTTAATCTTCATCTATGGCAAGGACAACCTTTTCTGGTGACAGCTGAAAGATGTACTAATCTATGGGTATAACAATAAGTCATTTTGATATTATGTCCATTTAGCAAAATGCTAGTAGTAGATTCTACACTATGGCCTGTGATTTTTCTAAACATGGGCTCTTGCCCTGATAAAAATGCTGGGTATGGATTCTTTGTTGTGAAGCAGACCGTAAATCCAAGAACAAGGTGGTTGGTGGCTCCTATATTATCAGTGCCATTATTGCACCATTGGGTATATGTTGCCAAGATAGTTGTTGTCGTAGCTCACAGGGTTCACATATGGATAAGGTTAATGACTGTCTTTCTTTCCAAGTAGCATACACAGCATCTTTGAGTACTTTCCATTATATTAAATTCTGGAATCAATTTTTAAAAATTGAACAAAACAAAATGTATTGTCTCAATCTATCAGAAAATGAACATGGATACAAAAGTTCATATTCTTGAACACAGATATAAAAGTCTTCAAAACTACTAGCAAATAAAATCCAAATGTACATTAACAGGATCATTAACTATGACTGAGTGATATTTATCCATGTACTAAAGGGCTAGTTCAACAAATCCAAATCAATATATATGATACATTGCATTCATGTGACATAGGACAAAAATCACATGATCATTTAAACAGATACACAAAAAAGTCATTATTTCCTGATAAGAGCTATCAACAAATTAGATATAAAAAGATGTACCTTC